CTTTGTATACTAGTAACTATATTGTCTTATTTTGAAAACTTGTAACTCTTTGTTGCCAATATGTAACCAGCCCTAACATGGAGTTGTGTACTCCCTGTCTTTGTATACCTATCTGAAATGAATAAAAATATTTAATAAAACAAAAAGACTATTAGCAGTAACTGTCGATAATAGGGAGGCGTGGGAATTACGCACAATGTTCAATATTTACATGCATTCACATTCAATTAAGATGTTTTATTTGTACCTAGCCTCTAAGTGCATGTCATGGCCTTCACATGTTTGCACCAACAATATAATAATCAATATGAGCTATTTCCGCAGACCATCGCTCGTCTTTAGTGCATTAATTAACCGTATTTTGCAAATACCTCAAAAACATGTTGCAGCAATAGTGAAACAAGTAAGTATCAAATAAACGTCAAGCCATACAACGCTTATAGACTACCATGCTCTTTATGATTTAAAATGTTAAGGGGGGACGGTAGGGTAGCCTAATGGTTAAAGCGTTGGCTCGTCACGCCGAAGACCCGGGTTCGAATCCCCACATGGGCACAATGTCTGAAGCCCATTTCTGGTGTCCCCCGCCGTGATGTTGCTGGAATATTGCTAAAAGCGGCGTAAAACCAATCTCAGTCAGTCAGTCAGTTAAGTGGTGATTCATAGGTGTCGCACTGGACACTCTCATTACACTCATTGATTTATACGGAAGGGAGAGGACCCACCTCAATGTATTCCGTGTCACAGTCCTTTAACTATTAATCACATTCTGTTGGATTGTGTTCAAATTTGGCAATTAACAGCATCCAAGACCGTACATGAGGTGGATGACTTTCAGTAACATCACGTCAAAACCGAGAGATGTGCGCAACCATTTGCAGGATCGCTTAACCAGAGCAACGGAATAGCACGTCAGACCTTTGGGACAGACCCATTAGTGCCGATATAGTGCGTCGACGTTAGCGAGGAAGAAACCTCTGTTTTCACAAACCATATCATGGAATCGACCTCACCTATCGTCAACGCCCAAACCGACTGCAATGGGCAACTCAGCATAAAATTTGGCGTTATCGACAATGGAGAACTCTTCTATTTTTCTTATGAAAGCCGATATTGTGTTTCGACAGCCGATGGCAGAGAGTATGGGAGAAGGCGTATGGAACAGTTTTCCAATTAGTGTATTGTTGAAAGAGACTCGTGGGGTGGTCCAAGCATCATGGTGTGGGGTGCAATCGGTCTGAACCAGAGAGTTGGCCCTGTGGTGTTCCCGAATGCCGTTCCAGGACGAGGAATTGGCGTAACTTGACCAAGTCATAAGACCCCACATTGTACCACATTTTTGGACGTCACAGAAATCACATCTTCCATCAAGACGCATCTTTCCACACTGCCAGGACAACACTGGACGTCCTAAAACAACTTGGTATCCAAACCCTACAATGGCCTGCACTCAGTCCGGATTTAAGTCCAATAGAACACGTTTGGGACGAGATTCAAAGAAGACCTAATTATCTCCAACGGGCATTTCGCAGAATATGGAACAAAGTCCCTACGGATTTGCATTCCTGGTGACGAAAGAATCACGGTCAAGCATGTCCTGCGTGACTGCATTGATTTTTCCATCACAAGGAATACATAGTTCAATGTCAAAACTGTAAGGGATCTTTTTAAAGTTAATTATCATTTAATAACTGCATTCAAAAAGAAATACATTGTTGCCTTAAGTTTGACATATGTTTTGTAAATAGATATATGTTTTATAAGTGGTAATTTAGAATATCAGCTGAGACTGTTAGTGGCTGTATCTTCAAGGGGGCTGGTTTAAGGTACTCTAAAATTATTGTCCTGAGAGGGTACGTAAGTCCAAAGCCATCAAAGGAAATTTAAACTGACCAGATTTTTTAAACGTAGTATTTTCGTGATTTTGAATGATGGCTAAATTTTCCTACAGTCGTCATCGGCTGAAGGGATGGTGTAAATCCAGGTAGGGCCCATGCAGGTAGCAAAGGTACTGTAAGTCCCCATGGTCCCTAGTATGATGATCTACCTTCAGTTGCTGGCGATCTACAGCCTGGTATTATATTGTGTTGTCCTCCATAGTTCAAATGTTTTAGATTTAATGACTGGTTTTACGTTTCTATCGGTGATAATCTAGTTATTTTACTGTCCTTACTGTTTTTGTAATTTAATTCCATTTATTATAAATGTATAACCTTTTCAGTCACGATATGGCTGAAATATTGCCGATGTGACTAAACAGCCTGGTTATTATATCGTCTTCAGTAGTTGAACGTTTTAGACTGAATTACTAGTTTTAAATATATATCTGTGACAATCTAGTTGTTTCATTGTCCTTCGTTGACAGGTGTTTATTATCTGCTTTCAACTATTATACATCTATAACATGATTTAGTCATGACATGGCTGAAATACTGGGTCACTATAGTATTAAGTATATTTAGCAAAGTGTTCACTTCGATTATCAATAAAAGATTGATTTTGTTGGGGGAAGCAATGGATAATATAAATGAATCACAGACAGGCTTCAGACAGGGGTATACTACTATTGATAACTTGTTCATGCTACAGAGTGTTGTGCAAAGATAAGTATCCAAGAGGGTAAACTCTAGACACTATTTGTTGGTTTCTCTAAAGCTTTTGATTCTGTACAAAGCTGTAAGTTATGGGATTTATTTAAAACAGGTGGTTTGAGTAGTAAAATGACAAACGTATTAAGCAACATTTATATAGAATGTGAAAGCTTGTGTTGGGAATAAAAATGAACTATCAGAATCTTTTGATGTACAAATTGTCGTTAGACAAGGCTGTGTACTCAGTCCTTTTTTATTATCCTTCTTTATCAATGAATTAGCAATGAAATTGAAATTAATTGCAGAGATGGTACTTAGTACATCCAAATGTGTTCCAGCTTTTTCCTTTATTGTTTGCAGGTAACAATGCTCTCATGTCAAGTACAATTGTTGGTCTCCAGAAGCAAATTAATGAATTAGAATATTATTGTGAACAATCTAAACTGAATCTGAATGTGAATATGAATAAATGAAAAGTAATTATTTTCATGAAAGAAGGTAAATTGTCTCGACATGAAAAATGGTATCATAAAGGCAATCAGATTGAATCAACAACCTCGTATAAATACCTAGGTGTTTTATTACTAATCACCTTTCCTGGTCAAACCAAGCAAGGTACGCACCTATTCAAGCTCAGACGGTGTTGAAAATCCTCGTTTACCAAAGAAATGTTATGAAGTGGTGATTTTATATGATAGAAATAGACACACAAATTGGCTAACGAATTTAAAGAATCTTTTGTTTTAATCACATGTGGTATGAACAAAATGTTGAGTTTCCCTCAAGGTTTATTAGTTTATTTACGCAAAGATTGAAAGATATATACCAACAAAACTGGCTTGAAAAACTTTCCCTTTCTACGAGATGTGATTACTATTCATCTTTTAAACCATACATATATACTGAACATTATCTAGCATGTCTCGCTAAAAATAATGAGTAAGTTTAGCACGATTTCGCTTCTTATCACATGATTTGTTGATTGAAAAGGGTAGATTTATGAAGATAAAAAGAGAAGAAAGACTAAAGACACATTTTATTCCTTATTAAACTGCAACAACCATGATAACCAGAATGCTGCTATGTTGATATATCACGCTATGAAACGCTATGGAAGATTAATAACCATCGAGCATAGTCTGAACGTCATAATTGTATGAAAACATAATATCAATATCATAGATAAAACTGTTCGAAATTGTACCACTATATATTGTACTATAGGCCTGTGGCTTTTGAGTATTGAATAACGATTTATTGATATGGCTGAAATATTGTCGATGCGACTTAAAATCTTAACTAAGTCACTCACTCACTCACCAAAGCAGTAAACGACGTCAATTTATTAACCATTAAACTGGACGAAGCTTCAAGTAAAACACGAACAAAATAACGCACACATTGTGCAAACCTGGCACATTCTTAACCAGACATCTTTGCGTTGAAGTGATGGAAATGTCGCTCATTTGAAAATATTGAGAACTGTAATAAGAATCTATGAGTACGTTTGCAAAATCTGAAATTTGTTTGGCCACCGTTTGTGTGCATATTCCCGATCACATTCGCTTGTACGTCATCCGATCACTACAGTCTGTAACAGCATAATGTAACACTATAACCACACTATAACTACACAGTAACAACACCTTGTAACAACACACTGTAGCGACACACTGTAATGACACATTGTAACCACACATCGTAACAATACACTATTTGGACACTACATCACAGCACACTGTAAGGACACACTGTGACATAAGGTTACAAGCCACTTCCTTAAAAGTCTGTCATAACTCTTCCAAACGTCACTCCTATCAACTGTTTTTCACTCTTGTTTGTTCACATTGTGCTTGTTGATCTCAGTATATGCAGTTCTTAGTTAGGTAACCATTACCTAGTTGATCACTTGCTGAATAACGGTATCAGCATGTGTATCGAAACGGGTTGGCATTGACATCATGCCTAACTCCTTAACGACAGGCGCGAGGCAGGTAAGCAATAAGCACCATGTTTAAGGTATTTAGCTATGACGTTTCCCGATGGTGGCGAAACGCTCAGTCAACCAAACAAAGGTGTCCTTAATGTTGTTCTCTGACTGCGCGTAGCACGGGGAAACTAATAAAGTACAAAGTATATACAAACACGTATACTGAGTTTAGATTTACGCCGCTTTTAGCAATATTCCAGCTATATCACGGCGGGGGACACCAGAAATGGGCTTAACACATTGTGCCCATGTGGGGAATCGAACCCGGGTCTTCGGCGTGACGAGCCAACGCTTTAACCACTAGGCTACCCCACCGCCCCACAAACACGTATAAACTTATAAAGTGCTAGACAAATACAACACATCAACCATCATAAGGAGAGCGTGAATTACAAATATTCCAATCTAGGCGTACTAACCTAATGTGGGAGAAAAGCCAGAAGGACTGCAGGTCTCAGATGTTGCACACAGTAGTGAAGCCTCGAGCACAGGTGCTGACAAACCTAAACTACATTACATGGTTAGCATCAATATTTGTTGTACATGGGAATTAAGTTCAGTATTAAGGCCACCTGGTCGATAATTTGAGAAACGATCCTGAGCGTCTTCCTTGTCCCACGTTAAGTTTTCACATACAGGTGATTGCTGTTGGTAATTGCCAGAACATTGATTCCCTATAGTTTGTAATTATAAATAACAAAGAGCAAATGTGTTTCCAAATATCTTAATAAACGACAAATAATGCAATTTTAATAGTCGAATGCTTTTATCGATAAGGGATGACATATGATCACTTATAGAATATTGATATCTAAACAGTTGACAAGTTTAATGTGATAACCCAGAAGCGTGTGACCAATTACGTATGTTTTGCTTGAAGACAATAAAGCTTCAGGTGAAGAAAGATGGGAAATAGCATTTAACTTGCTACGTCAAAATGGTCTGCAAAACATTCCAAGCAAACATTCAGTGTTGGGAGGTATCGAAAAGTTTTAACATGTGATGCATGTGGCTTAAACACTGACTGGTGTCTTCGGGCAATGTGGAATTATTTGATTGGTAAACATGGTTAATGATTTACCCAAAGAGGAAAATGACAGAAGAAAGGTAAATACTGGACGACAATAGGAATGAAAAACCGACCGTTGCTAAACTTTTCACTTTTTGCTAAAACTGCGCTTAGCCACTTCTAAATCAAAATACCTACCCATATGATATTGTATTTAAACGACTGTATGTTCTATATATCATTCTGTATGATTTTCGAAAATAAACAATTCTGTTCTGTTCTGTTCTGTTCTGCTAATGAGGCATCAAGGGCTTAACAGTTTTTAGGGAGCTTCCTTGCTCTACAGGTTGAACAATACCTTTCCAGTTCACGGAAAGTGTATTTCATTGTGATTGAATCAATTCGAAGTGTTTGAACAAATTTGCACTGCGTTTGCATTAAATTCAGAAACGTTTTGGAGACATCACACTTCTGTTGTGAATGAACCTGAATAATCTCCTACACATATGATTGCATTGGCAGCAGGTGTCAATACATATCACAGTAGGGGCCGCGTCCCACTGAAGCAAGATGAACATTGTGCTGCATCTGGTCATTGCATTCATCCCAGTCGTGTATGCAGGAAATTGCAGTTACTGGCAACGCTTTGACAGACAGGTGACACTAAACAATGTAAAGGCAAGATAATATCCCTGGAGGAAACAGGCGCTTCTTCATCAAGATACCTGTATTTGCCTCTGTACCCAGGACGAACTCTGTTCAACTCTCACCTACCACAGTGGCACGTGCACCATGTACAGATCTTCTCTCACGTTCTCTGGGGAATCTGTTCCTGGATCAAAGCACTTCATCAAGGCAGGAGGTAAGCTCATAATATTTGAAATGAAAACACTGAGTAGTATATACAATGATTGTCCGAGATCAATTCCAAGAAAGGTCGCTGTAAAGCTTTATTTCATAGATAAAGCTTTTGTCAGGCCCTTAGACCTCGCCGCCATTGTATATACTACTTTTGAATGCCCAGTTAACTTCCCGGCCACACGTGACACTATTGTGTCACTATGACCGCGAACTAGCACTTTCCTGATCATGTGATAGCTCTATGTCATGTTGACAGGATACCATTAAGATTACCCGACAAGGTAAGTGTTAAATATTTTGCTTGGGGGGTAACATTGTGCTGTACGGTATGACTAATAATTCCTCTCTAACGAAACCTCTCCCTGGCCCATCTCTCAAGTAGTACAAGTTTGGCTCGTCAGCTTTGATGTCCACTTTATCTATGTTGTAAGTTTTGACTGACCATATCGGATCGGTGGCTCGTTTCCGAGTGTCCTCTTCATGTTCCCCCGGCTGGTAGAGGTACCTCACGAGGGCCCTATCGGGTATCTGTTTCTCCTTCCCACGCGATGGTGCAGCCGACTCAGCCACCACTGATTTCAGTTTGATAGTGTCGGCTGGTTTCTTGCCGGTGAGCCGAGTGGTTTCGTGGTTGATAGCCGACACCACTTGAGGTAGCCGCGCTGCCCATTCCGTCGATCGTTTTCCCGGGTTGGCCATCTCTCTCGCATACTTATGCCCGAATAAGCGCTCGGCCAAAGTCCTTTTGAATCTCTCAACTATGGCTTGACTGCGATGAGCCCCGGCAGCGCCACGACTGACCTGGACGCCGTGCTTGGCTAGCACGGCGATGATTTTGGCGCTGGTGCGTATGATGGGGATTACGATGACACCTCATTCATGGGCGACACTGTTAGCAATGAACTTTTAAAATCAACCGTCGACGATCATTACAACGCGTGGAAGTCAGATAGAAACTACGTCGATCCGTTGGGGCTAGACTATTCCAAGTTTAACATCGATAAGAAGGGCACACTGCGATTGAAAGCTCATCCGGGAGATCGATCTTGTGAATAAGCGCACGAGAAAACCGCTTGCCTTGTCTACGCTAGTCAGTCGTTATGGTGGGCAACTGATCCGTGATGAACAAGGCTTCATAGATTACAGTGGCGCACGGCCTAAGCTTCCCCTTAAGGTTGTCCAAGATCTGCAAAACATCAGGGCCGAACTCAGCGGTGAAGGTGATGCCAAAGAAACATCAAAATATTGGCCACGTACCATGACAAACCCTTGCCTGGTTTAGAATTTCCTGTTCGAGAACTGCGAGGCCTAGACGAAGCCTTGAAATGTGTACGCGGAGAACTCGTGAACAACATGGGGAAACTGAACGAAATCGATGAGCATATCGCTGGCGAGAAAATAAAACTCACCGAAACGGAAGACGAGTCTCTGAAAACCATCATCGAAAAACGATTGCGCAACTTGCAAGATGAGAGACGGACTCGGTTGGAATCCGCTTCCTCGAACCGGGAACAGCTTCGATCCCAGATCAGCCGCGTGAGGGAAACCATCGATCGAGTCCTAAATGAAGACACCACGTTGGCCAACAGGATCCGAATCCTCTTCCGAGAGCAAGGGACTACTATCGCCAGCATTCTTACTGCATTGGGCTTCATCATATCAACCCTGGTCGTGTTGCTGACGCCTGCCGGCGGCTTCGCAGGTGGTGGTTCACCAGGTGGTACACCCACTGGTGGCGTCCGAGACTGGATAAAAAAACACCTGAAATCCCTCGGGGAGGCCCTGGCTAAACTCGCTGGTAAGGCCGCCGAAGCCCTGCCCGGCATCCTGGGTAGCATCGTCTCGTGGCTGCTGAGCCCGCTGTCGAAAATTGTCACATGGCTCAGCCAAAACCTGTGGGCAGCCATCGTCAACGTGGTAGGGCTGGTGTACGTAGCGGCTAAGGAATTTTTAACCAAATGAGACCCAACCCGACCGCGATCCCCCACCACCAGTGCTGTTTTACGGTCGATGTGCTGCTGATTGGACGGCTGCTGTTGGGGTGTGGGGTGAACCCTGGGCTCTTGGGGTGGCGCCACTATACCAGTTTCACCGGTCGTGGGTGGTGTTACGTGGGGGACGTTGACATCGGGGTTGACACCCAACTTTTGGCCTGCCTTGGCTACGACAATTTTGTTGTTATAGCCCACCACTTTGTTGATTCTCAGTCGCATGTCGCTCGGAGCCATGTACAGTCCCATATCGAACACGTAGTCGACTTTCGACCGGGCATATTCCAACACGTCTTGGTATCGTCGGATGGCGCCTGGTATATCGACCGGGGCGGAGATGGCATCCTCGACGTTGGACAGGAACTGTTTCTGAGCGTCACAAGCAGTCCCCTTACCGAGGATGTTGGAACGCGTTTGATTCTGAGCACCCAGCACGGCCCACACGTACATTTGAATCGAGTCGTTCAAGCGTTCGATGCTGGCACAAGTAAACCCTTTTGGCGTGTCCAGCATGAACTTTTCCCAGTCATCCGCAGGCCCCTGCTCGAACCTCCAGACTCGGTAATCCTTGCTGTTGTCGAAAGCCATGTAAAGGTCATCCCACTCGTTTGTTGTGATATGATCCTACTTGTACCCCCATCTTTTCGCTGGCTTCCACGAGGGGCATATTGTGAACGATGGGGATACCCAACCCATGGTTCGGTCCCGGCAAACGCCAATCCGTCTTCGGGTTTAGTTCGAATTCGTTGCAAACGCATTCGTAGGCCCGTCGATCGTACGGGTTGTTTACTGCGTCCCATGCTTTGTCCTGTGGGAGCGGAGCACTGATCTCTTTGAGGATACGTCTGACCTGGCAGTACACGTGAAACGTGAACACAGACTGACTCAGTGGTCCCCGTCGAGTGTTGGTCAATGTCAAGCCACACCCAGTCGTCGCACACCAGACGGCGAAGATGAGTTGATTCTGCCAGAACTGCATAGGGTTGTTGAACGAGGCGTGGACTACCTTAGCGTTAGTCACCGAAAACCTATACCTGTCAAACACATCTATGAACTGGGCTCCGAAATACAGCCCATCAGCGACCACGATCTTCATGTGCATTTTTAAAGTATTATATAATGAGTATATATACTCTAACATGTACGTAACACTTCCAGGAATAACGAGCGGTGGGTCCATTCAGCTGATGCACGCGATCGATAACATGTCGGGCCAACTCGAAGTCGCACTCTGCGATATCACCTACCTACCACGATGGACTAACATCAACGCCAGCAACAACAAGCTGTTCGTCAGTGGCGCCCGCAACCAGATAACTGACAGTTACTACAGCGTGTGCTCGCTAAGCGACGAGGTCTTCAAACCCTTGGGAGCCGAACTCAAGATGAACGACTCAAACGGCACAGTGGTGTTAACCAACAACGGAATAAACCCCTTGAGGCTCGGCCGACCATTGGCGAGGACACTCAGGATGTCGCTGGACGAGATAAAACCCACAACTACCGCCACAGGCACGAAGTTACCCGACTTAGTACCGTACCGAGAGCTGTGCATTCATCTCGGTCAGTTGAGCACAACGGACAACATTCAAGGTGGGCACCCTTCCACGATACTGAGAACCGTACCGGTGAAAACGG